TAAGTCGATCGTCGATCCTGAGAAAAGACGTAAAACATGATTGCGGGAAGTAAGCGAAGAGAGGAAGAGAAAGCGCACATCTTTTGAAGATGGTTCTAAACTCTGCGGAAACACAAATGTGTGTTGTACGCTTGAAATTCAACGAAATGTTCGATAACGAAATAAACGATATACTATCCTTTCAGGTGTCATTTTTTTCATATTAAAACATTAACATATGTGAGACAAATATTTTCCATTGGCTTTAAACCTTCTTTAACAAAAAACCCAATCACTGCACGCTGTTTTAAATTTTCCATTGCAAACAAATATATACTGACACGTCAGCTTCAATTGGCTTGTGAACACAGAAAGAATTGACAGATGGAAATGAAACCCAACCTAGGTTCATGTGAAGAGTGATTCCATATAACCGACTACAATTTATAATTCTACCGTTTACTTATAGACGCCGCTCCGCGAACCTCCTTTTCACGCAACCTGTACAGGGACTCGCTCCCATGTTGTTTATACATCCTGTACGCGCGCGTTACTCTCACACATATTAATACAACACGATTAACACGTTATAGATTTATAAAATGTAATTAATACGTGGCGCGCGTGCGCATACGACGCGCGAGTATCTCGCGATACGATTTCGGTTCCGCTCGCAACGAAACACTCTGGAAATTGAAGTGCTTGGTGCCGTTCGGGCCAAGAACGCGAGTTAATAATCGCAACATTGCTGGAAAGTGTACCTTTGCGGGTTAAACGCTCGCGCAACGCGGAACACTCGGTGGTTGTGGCACGGCAGTGACAGAAACCAGTCATTCGTCAGCCGCTACCGCCGAAGAGGCTCCTTGACGCCGCAGCAGCAGCAGCAGCAGTAGTAATAGTAGTAGTAGTAGTAGTAGTAGTAGTAGTAGTAGCAGTAATAGTAGTAATAGTAGTGGTAACAGCAGCAGCAACAGCAACCTACCAGGCCAGACGCGTCTCGGGCTGACGGAACGAAATGGTTTATGTCGACCATTAATCAGAGAGAGACGCGTAAATTTCGTTAATCGCTCAAAACACGCGGGGTGTTAGGCCCTTTTCGGCTCTTTGAAGCGTATCGGGACACCGCGCGAGTTATTTAATTCAACTGAAATGTCCGTATCACTTGGAAATGTGCAAAATATTTGACGACACTCACATGCGCCTCTTGTTTGCACCTCTGCTCGATCGATGTTTGCGATTTTGTTTGCGCACGAATAATTTATTTCCACACACATCGAAGGAAGTATTTGCACGACCGATTCTTTCATCGAGATTTAATTTTCGCGAATGAAAGTGGAATATCGCACGGTAGAAAGTGTGTTCATTATGAAATATTGTTTCCCCATTCCCGGCGCGTTGAATACAAGTCCACGCTCCCTCTGCGGTAATAATGATCTGTTTAATACAAAATTATCCGAGGATAAAGGATCGGGCTCTCCCTGCACAGACGTTATTTTTGCTCGCAGAGATAAAATAAGTTTCTTTTGACGGCAGGCGAGAAATGTTATCGCGGCGGGGGAGGGGGGAGACTCGACCCGTCCGCCTGCCGTCGCACAGTCCGCCATTGCCATCAGTTGTCCTTTGTGCCGGAAGCAATTCGTGATTGTTAAACGGACTGCAGCGGGGCAAACACGTGACTTCAAGGTGACCTATTAGATCGACAAGCTAGAGTTCTGATTAGGAATGATCCGATGCCTGGGAACGGCACGTATTGTAGGCGCCCGCGAGAGAGGGCGGCCGAACGGGAGGGAAAAGGGAGGCTGAGAGAGAAGCTAGAAGCATTCGCCTCTGCGGCGTTGCTCGTCTACTCGACAAACCCTTGATTTCCAACGCTATATGTATATCTACAATGAGCCCTCGAAGCCTCACAATAGTCCAGCGTGTAACCAACCGAAACTAGGGGGTAGCGTGGATCTCGCGAGGGGAAGCCGAAGGAGGCCGCGTTCGACGAGCGCATTCCCGATTCGTCTAATCGATGGGAATCGTGAACGAGTTGCGCGAGCGGTTTGAAGCAGTGGCTCCCAAAGTGGGTGGTAACAAGCCCCGAGAGACAGAGCGATGTGGATATCCGCAGGCACGGCAAGAATCAAAGAGCCGCGAGGGGCGGTGAGGGGCGGCTGGGAAGAAACCGATGTCGCTGGAGTCAGCTTCGTCCGGGAACGTAAAGTTGAATTGATTTCGCACGCGATTTAATCGCTCGACAGTCGAGACGTCGAGCTCCGGAAAGTTTTAACAGGGTCTCTTGAATAAATGTGCCATTATTTGTCGCAGCTTCCAGCTCATTCTCGCCGATGAGTACTGCGGTGAGAGGAATGAAATCTCCTCTCTCTCTCTCTCTCTCTCTCTCTCTCTTTCGGCGAATCTCTCTCTCGGATCGCGTTTATCTGAGGTTAAAACGCGGGAAGAGGACATCGAGAGCGAATTAACGGGGCTGAGGAAATGGCGGTGACCCGGAAACGTCGTCGAAAAATCGCAGATCTAGGCCGTTAGCTTCGCGAGAGTTCCGCGACCCTCCGTAAATCTGCGCGAGCTGCGACGCTCGTGCGAGCCGAGATTCTGCGAGATCTCAGCCCGGTCGTCAATATCACGCGAACATCACACTGGCCTCTCTCTCGTCGAACGTATAAAATGAATGTTTTGAAAATGAAAATAATTACCGTCTCGATTTAGGGACCGCTCGTCCGTTATTTCATCGAATTTTCGGCTCCTCCGGCCGGGACTTTCGAGATTCACGACTCGCCTCAAACGCGGTCTTAAGGTACCGTTTCATTGATTAAACAGCTTCTTAAGGCCGTTCTCAGACCGTCGTAAATATAAGAGGGGACTATAAATGCCGCTCTGCTCCCGTACGTACATGTATAGGTATATTCCGAAGCATCTTGGCGTTCCCCAAGCGCGACACCGCGAGGAGCCACCACATGTTGCTCTCGCGGACGGCGAGGAATCTCCTGGGGCACACACGTGCTCGCGCGCCCTGCGACAGTCGTCCCGAGCGACGCGTCAAGACAAATTCATTCGGAGGAAGAACCGTCTCGGCTGAATTATCGATGAGCACTCGAGCAGATTTGAGGTCTGTCCTTTGCGGCGCGCGCACATCTCCCTAAATAAATAATCTCGATATATCTGTTACGCCCGTTCGCCGGAAATATCATGGTTCGTCGATCGCGTGCGCCTTTCATCGGGATCTCCGCGACAGCTCCTATTTGCGGGCTTTGATCGAGCGCCGTTTTTCCAGGCCCACCGCGAATGCCATTAAACATGAATGAAGGAGGGCAAGGAAGGGAAGGGTTGTGCGGTCGTCGTTTCCTCGTTCGTCCGTTCGTTCGTCCGCACGTAAATTCGTACGCTCATACGCTTTCTCTCTCTCTCGTTCGTTCGTTCGTTCGTTCGTTCGTTCGTCCGTCCTCATCCGAAACATCGAGGCGGAATACCTGGCACGAAACAAACGACGTGGGTCATCGATAATTCATTACCATCTTCCATCAATTCCTTATCTTGGCATGTTCCGCCTACGATCCTCCGCCGGGGATCGTTTCCCGTAATCTCTCTGATGGAATCGGCTTGCGGTTGATGAGGAAAAGCGGGGAGGGGGGAGGGGGATACCACACCGTTGGATTATGACATTCGGCGAATTTTTCGCGAAATGCCTTTAGACGCAGATCGTCGCGTCGGTCGCGCGCAAACGGATACGCATATTTTGCGAATTCGCCCCGGTGATTGTACGGTGAGAGATATGAAAAGATTTGCACGTGTGTGTGTATGAACGAGATACACCTATCTCGGTTGGCACGAGCACTTGACGCACTTGGTCGATTTTAAATGACATTCCTTCCGGCAGAGATGCTTGAATTATTACTATAAATTTATGGACCCTTTATCTCGGCCTGTCGTCTCTAATCTCGTGATTACATTGAGTGCTCTGTAATCGAGTTAATTCCAGCGGCCGTTCAGTAAGAATACTAATTCCGTAGAGAGCTGAAACGGAGCTCTCGGAAACGGCCAACGGGGATAATGACTTATTGCCAGAACCACGACGTGAAAGATCAAGATAAAAGAGCCGCTGAGAGATGATTAATGCGGATCCAACAGCCGCTTACACTTCGTTCCGTTACATCCGAGCGGCTGTAACTGAATACAGCTGGACGAAATGATTGCGACAATAACCGTAATAATTGTAATGTCCGTACGATATAATCGCGTGCCAACCGCGATAATTACGATACATCGCTGCGGACAAGGAGATGCTAAAGAGTGCGACATTTTTTACGCGAAATAAGGATACAGCGGAAGTATCCTGGGGGGGTAGCGGAAGGCGCTCTCTCCGTTCGACCGGCTTCATCATTCCCCATAAATTTTCCGCGACGGATACGATTTTTCACGGGCCCTGGAAAGTGCACTCCCGGGTTTGAAAAATGCTATTCGCGCGAAAGGAAATTTACGGGCGGCCGCGCGCGCGCGCGAGACAGTGTTGTCGAGGCGGTAAGAAATTGTCTTTGCGAAGATAAGGCAAAGAGATCCGCCGTTGAACAACGTACTTCGCTACTGCCGGACAACATAAAGTCAACGCGGCCATAAAGATGCGCTATTTCGATCTGCACGAAAGGGCATGCGATCGACGCGCGACGACGCAATTATTTTTACGACTGTTTAACATTTACGGCGGCCATGCGCGCTGTACGATTCATCCGGCGGTCGCAGAAGAAATCGCGTCCCACCATCTCCCCGGCTCCGATGTTTTATTACGTTAGACAGCGCGGGCGCAAAATCGCAATAGCTGTTTTGTACCATCGAACGAATTCCCGATAAACGGCGAGTTCTTCGTCGGCTAATTATAAACTTCCGGGGCCAACTCGACCGGGGGCAGGGAGGCATGATGAGGTGGTCTGGGAAATAAATAGAAAGAAAAATAGGTATCCGCATGCGGATATCAAACATGACGGGACGACATAAAATCACGATGTTTCGATATTCTTGTGTTACAGCTTGCAATAAAACATACTACGGTGACGTGGGGAAGACGTACGACCTGGAACTGCATCGACCAAAGGAGGACAAGGTGCCTTACATTTGCAAGCTCACCTTCAACGCGCCAGGTGACGATTTCGGCGATATAGTGCAGGTGAGGAGACCAGTCGAGGTAATCTAATCATCACCACGGTATACGCATACGATCTGAAATTAAATTAAACCGTGCACATTGTACGTGAGCACAGCGGATCAGAGTAAACAGAAACTCAACCGACTCTAAAACTCAACTCTCCCGAATTGGCGGTAAAAAAAAACAGCATAAACGAATACGAGGAAGTGCGCCGAAGAGATTGTTCTTTATTTCGTGTCACTTGCGTCGTCACATTAGTGAGTCACAGTCGTGTAAAACTGCAGCGGCGACGTCGGCTTTCAGTTCGGCGTTCGCGCTGGTGCAAGCGTGACATTTCTCTCGCATCACGGTGTGCCGTGTTTGTTTTCTTGCTATCCTTGTCTCTCCGAGTGAGGCGAATGACCGGCGTGGTGGGGCGACCGCATGGCCGCCAAACTCGGAGTGGGGGCAAGGCCGCGATCGTGCTGCGTGCCGTCACGTACGATCGCGTACCAGATGTGCCTTCCATAAAAGGCACGATGGAATGCGACTATTGTTTCGCATTCACTTGTCGCGTCGCTCAGCACGCGACCTACCCCACGCGCGCGGTAGCGCCGGGCGATCGAGGGCGCGGATCGATGCCGACGTCGATATTTTCACTCCTAGACGTCGTAGCGACTTGGAACAAAAAGCGTTGGAAAAGGGAAGTCACCGCGCTTCTGACGAGCGTGAGACGGTTCTTCTGGGAAATGAGGATCAATTGGCATAGTCGTGTAAATGCGAGGGATATTGATTTTTGCGTTTGCGTTAAAGGGCAAAATAATCTATGCTGGGAACCAATGAAAAGCCTTGATTTGGATCTTTCACACAGAGCGCTAGTTTTGTGTTCTTAACGGATATAAAAGGCAATTTGATAGAAGAGAAAAATAATAATTACGGGAACTTTACTCTGCTTCCAGTATGTGAATCTTTCCAGTAAATGAATCTTTAGTTAATGATAAAGACACTATATGTAAAATAGTATAGGTCTTTTCTTTTTGATTTTATGCCACCTGTTCATGACGGATGTACTTGAATTCAAACACTCCGTGTTTGACTGTGTTTGGCGCTGGCGATATTATTTATCGCAAAAGAGCGAGCTCCCGACAATCTGTTCTCGCTGACTATCGAGAAAAACGCCCTTCGGGAATTTTCAATAAATTACGCTTCACGGAATCGGACTTTAATTAAAGTGCGCATTAACGAAGTGAAACGAAGTTCCACGCGAAGAAATGCCGGAGACAAAGCGGAGCCTGGGATTATGTAGCAAATTAAATTCCGGATAGCCAAGTTTTTATTGAATCGCACATTAACGGTGCCGGTGAGTCCCAACAAATGAAGAATATCGACTCATTCGTCGCACGCTCGTCCGCTATAATTCCAATTATTTCTCTTGCGCAAATAGAAGGGCGTAATCCAAGCGCTACCGCATGACGCACATTTCTCTCGCTCGATAAATTTTAAATAAATCGCCTTTTTTCTTTTCTTTCCATCTCTCTGTCTCTACTCATACAGAGTAAACTCGGGTAAGATGGTCATAGTTCTTTAAAATGCAAGAAATATATGTTTCTTTTGGTTTCTTTTAATAATATTTGGCACATTACTTCACTGAAATTTGAAGTACGTAATACTATCGAAATTAAAGAGAAAATACTTGATAGAAATTTTATATTATCAGAATATTAAAACATAAGCATTGGCTATCTTACCCGACTTTTAAAGATAAGATGGTCATAGTATTGTGGGATAGTTGGCCATATATATTTTATGTTACAGATGTACCTGACATTTTATAAAATAATAGAAAAAACTATAATTTCATATATTCATTTTATTTTAGAATATTTAATATATTAATTGTAAAAAATTAAATATAAAAGTTAAATATATTAATAATAAAATATATATAAATAAGAATTTTTATAAAAAAAATTAAATATTAAATACAGTCTTTTAATCGAAAGATGGCATTTAAGATTAATTTTTTTAAATAAAAAAAGCAATTTTTGAAACATAAGTTTCACGCATAAATAAACAAAATGCATAATATATAAACATAATATAGAACAAAAGACGACGTATAAATAAACAATAGTATATTAGCTTAATCTTTTGTATTATAAATCTTTATATAATGAATATCAATGACAATATAAAAAATATGCTTTTCTAACAAAAGAAACGAGAAAACAATGGTTTCTGTTATTTTTAAATGAGAAATGTTATTAGCTTCCTGTTATGATTTTACCACATGTTTTGCAACGTGCAAACAAATGACGTGCACGTTTCATGAAGCCACCGCTTACATCGTGTACATTGAATCCAATTAACTTTTTCTTTTGTGAACCTATAATTTTCCTCACATCTAACGCATATATTTGATAGCTTATCAATTTTCATTTCTATAGTTTTCATTTCTTGTTTGAAACTGCTTGGAACAGCTTTGGTACAAACAAGTTTTTTCTCAGTTTTTTCGGTTTTCGTTTAATAGTTTTTTTTTGGGCACATTATTTAATTTCAGTTTTTTAATGTTTTAAGAAGATGCCAATAAAACAGTTCGAACGTTTTGACGTTTCAATATAGGAGCTTTTGTTATAAATGGAGAAATTTCATTTAATAATTTTATAGGAGAAACAATAGAAGAATAAGAAGTGTCGTTAGACAGTCGTTTTCGTCTTGCAGGTACTGATTGGAAGCAAAAAATTATTGATGGCTTTATCGATAATTATCGACAATCATCAATGGAAACATTACAAATTATCGATAATTATCGACTATGTAGAATATTGATACTTCTCCGTCTGTAATACATGTGATAATATATATCGATTGCGTTAACCATCTTACCCAAATTATGAGGGAAAGATGGCTATAGCAGTTATAAAAAAAATAGTGAAAACGAAAAAAAAATTAATAATCACAATAATTTACTACATACTTTCGTTATGTGTCTAATGTCGATTACGACGACTTAACTGTAATCTATTCGACGTTATAGCAGTTTTTAATGGACACATGACAAACTTTGGAGGCAGACGAAAGTAAAAATATGATATTCACAATATCGTTATTACGAATAATGTCACATAAACTACTATAAATATCGATTATCCCTGAGAATGACTATAAAAACGCACTATTTTACCATTATTAGAAAAATTATAGCCTATGCCCATTTTTTCCGTATGGCCATCATAGCCGAAGTTATCCTATATCTATACACTTCTCTTTCCCCTTCGCGGATCTTTCACGCGGAACAAAGGAGTGTTCCCTGTTCCAGAAAATGGCCACTCACCACCGAAGAGAGTTATTTTCCGCCCAACTTTGCGGACCGAGGAATTAACGGTGGAATTTTTAATAAGCACCACACATTTTTACGACAGTCATGCGAAACTGAAAAACTGACCGCGCGTCGAATTTACGTGAGAGACAGGGAGGGGAAGAGAGCAAAAAAGAGAGAGAGAAAAGGATCAGAGAACGAGAGCGCGCGTGAAAACTTTCTCGAGTGCGCTGAAACTCTGCCCTCGGAGCGTCGAATTATTTGCACGACGATGTTTGCCGGCTTTCTCATATCCGCACTCTCGACGTCGTGGGAATTCCTCGCACGTTGTCGATGTTGTATATAGTCGCAGTCCGCGCGTGCAGATGTTTACCGGTGGCGCGCGTCAAAGAGGCCTCAACCGCGCTAAAAATTGCAGCGACGCGAAGCGAAATGTAGCAACCGGCCGTGGAGTTCGCGAGAAGAAGTCGGCTACGCAAACGCGTGATTTGATCCGCTCGGTCGAGCGTCTCCTCTCCTTCTTTGAGAACTCAAGTAGCTCGAGTTACAGGTTCGACGCTTCACGAATCCATTTCGCCCGTGCTTGCGGAATATTCGAACTTCGAGTCGACGTTGAAGCGAGGAAAGGTGCATTTTTTAAAAGCCTGAAAACGCTCGGTCGCGAAGTGATCTTGAGCGGAGCTATGTAATGTAAAGCGGATCGGAGTAATGTAATATATCGCGTTTATCGCTCGATCGTGTCACTCACAAGGCAATGTGTGTGTGTGTGTACGTGTAAACTGTTTCTTATCGTTGTCGAAGCAGGACAGCATCGATATTTTAATCACGTCGCGCAGACCGGCTCTTTCTTTCAGTCCCTTTCACGGCAAAAAACGCGCGACTATCAACCTCCAACGGTTCGATCGATGCTCGATGACACCGACGCGAATATATTTGCCTGAAACCGAGCGAAACGGACGAGCTCTGGCAACAACAAAAAAAGAACCCCGCTCGCCTGTTCACTTTCGACATCACCCGTTAAAATCTTGTTACAAGATGCAAATGTGACAAACGTGAAAAACAAATAAATCGAGAAAACCGGGAGATAAATGTTCACGCGCGCGCGCGAGATAGACGAGGACGGGAGAGCGGGGTGAATAAAAATTGCAAATCCACGCAAAGGTTTTTCTAAATTACGATAAAATCACGTTATTGTAATTCGTTGAATCAATTTGTATGCGAACGTTTTATCGTTTTATCCTCCGCCTCGGAAATTTTCCAATTCTGAGCTGAACGCTGTAAAGCTTTTTCTTCCTGTTTCCAACATCGGTTGGTCGTTAACCGATCGATTTCTCGATTGCAGCTGACCTTCGACAGCTTCACCCTGGGCAAGTTCGTGTCCTTTACCGCGGAGGGATGCCCGGACGGGTCGTTGCAGATCTCGGAGGCGCAGCGTCCCGACGTCGGCGGCCTCTGGTGCGGCACATCCTGGGGCCCGGCGATTTACTACAGCGAGACACCCAGCGTCTCGATCATCCTCAAGCTGCTCAGACTCAGTAAAGATCAGACGGGATTCAACTTCGACTTCAGGATGGCGTACAAGATGATCAGGAAGTCGGACGCGGTGGTGCGCTACGGGAATCCCTTCGTCGGTGGGTGATCAGCTCTCGGGTTACAGATTTCGAGCACGTCCCTCGAAGTTTGCCTCGTAACACGATCGACATTTGTCCCCTCGCTCGGAGAGCTTCGCGTGCGGCTCTCCTTTCGCGCACTGATTTCGCCGTAAGCTCAATTCGATGGCTGCCCGAACGAGAGTCGGGCATCCTGCGATAAGCGTTGCTCGACGGAATTTAACCCGACTCGAGACTACCACCCGTCGCTCCATCTCGCGACTACCGTGTCGCGTACGTCATCGTGATTATCACAAATTACGTCTGCGACGCGATTCTCCTTTGGGAGAATCGTAATCGATCGTTGATTCACCGTTAAAGCTCGATAAAGGATCTTGTCGAGGAAGACTCGCGACTCGCGTCTCCGGAAGTCGCGGTTGGGCGACGAAATTGCGCGACGATGGGATGAACGTGACTCGACGATCGTGGAAATTGCGCGGCCCAAGAATTCGCCGATACTCTAGCCGCCGATGATTAAAATTCCAATGTCACGTGGTCAGGAATAACGCAGGTCGTCGGGACGCCGGCGTCCACCGAGCGCACGTCCGTCGAGTACGCGAACACGTCGATGGCGATGCCGGTGCAAATGGTCGAGCAACACGTGCAACCACCTACGAAGCCGAGCTCCGAGCAGTTCTTAGGGGACCTAATATCCGGGACTTACTGCTCCCGTATATTCACCGACTGCGACCGGAAGAAGTGCAGATTGCAGTCGCCTAACTTCCCCGGGCTCTATCCTCGCAATCTCACCTGCTATTATGCGGTAAGGCTCGCCTAAATTGCCGCCGACGACAAAGCGGGCGGCGTGGGTCTGGCGCACGTGTGTGTGTTTGTGTGCGCGCATTTTTCCTTCTTACTCCGGCCGCGCAACAGTGAAAAGCTCGCGGGGCATCGCAAGAGAAATTCGGCCCGACGATGTTGATCGCTGACCGTTCACATCTCGTGGTCGAGCTTCGCGGCAGAACTTGGCGTACGACGACGACGACGACGACAACGACGACGACGACGACGACGACGACGACGACGACGACGACGACGACACGTGCGATATTAATTAGACGCGAGGGGATGTTCAGTGAGACACGTGCTGCTCTGCGAAAAATATACGAGAGAGCCCCGCGTTTTTCACAAGGAGAGACTGCTCCTCATTAAAGGATACGCTCTCTCAGACGCGTATCAGCCGTCGTTAGGATAATGCATCATCGGCGCGAATTAATTTGCCCCGTCGTCGAGCAGACGCCCGGCAGTGATATACGATCGACATAGTCAGACAGCTGGGGCTCCCCCTCTCCCCCGGGGCCCCCTGACACGGCTCATATTTCTGTTTCAAGCAGACACACCTGCGGCGGAAGTCGTAAAAATGGCTCGCTTCCTCCCGCGCGCGTGGTTAACAAATTTTCGGCCGGTCCTCTTCCGCCGGCCATTATTTCCCCTTAGCATCTCGCAGCGCCGTGCGGAGACTCGGCCGCTCGGCCGCGTCTCCTCGTCACGTAAATCATATCGCGCGTCGGGGCCCCCGACGGGGCTTTTCTGGCCGGAAGAATTTTTCGCCCGCCGCGCCGCTGCCGAAAGAGTTGGTCGTCGGCCAAGTGCGAAGTCACGTATACGCATCGGCGGCGGCGGCGGCGGCGGCGGCGGCGGTTGCAAGCCGGAAAGACGATTCTCTCGGCGCGAGTCTCCCGTTAGCGTGAATCGGATCGAAGCAGGCCAAGCGGAAAACGGAGAGAGACCTCGCGGAAATTCCGCTCCTCGTCCGTCTCTCCCTGTTCTTCCGCCGACTTTCGCCCTGTTTTATTTAGCGTCCGCTTTTTGCCGCGCCCTTCGCTCACGCTTGAACGGCCGCGTGCGCTCTTCCACGAGAGCCGCAGTTTATCATCGTGAGAGCCTTTCTCTCGCGGTCGCCGACCGACGGTGATCGGTAATAATGTCGGCGTTCCGTAAGCATATTTCATCGACGCAGCGAAACTAATCAACCCCCGTCCAATGCGCCCCCTCCGCCTCCCCCCACCCCCGGTGGTCCGCGAGCCGATGGACGAAACACGTGAAGGCACCGCGGAAATTTATGGCTCGTCGTTTCGACACCGGAGGCGGTCGTTTGTTCCGCTCGCGCGCGCAACCGGACGGCCGCCGAGCACTCGTGGGACTTGCTCTAGATAGACTTCGATTACGAGCGAAGCTCTCGCACCATCTCCGTCGGTGTGTTTCTCGGCCGCGAGCTTATCTCGCAGCTCGCCAACGCCGTCGATACCGCCGGCGTCGCATCTCCTCGCGTCGCTCCTTTATCGCGCGCTCGCGCTCAGCTCGGTCGTGAAACTGCCGATGTCACGTCGCGCGTTCCGTCAGCTCGGCCGCGAAAACGGTCAGCGGCCAGGGAAGTGAGAGCGAGAGGTGTGAGATCGAAAGCCGATCGAAATGACGAATGAAGGCTAATGAAAGCCAGACTGGCTGGTCTTTCTCACGAATTGTCACTCGGAGTACGCTTGTTCTCCTCAGAACGGTTCATCCATCCAGTATAATTACTTCGGAATACAATCGAACGTTTTGTTCGCTTTGTCGGGCTGTCATTAGCGCGAATACATAGAGCTAGCGCTAGACGAGAATTCGTTGAAAACCCCGGCTCTCTCACGAGTCCGTCCCCCTCGCTCGACGTTTTCTATCTGGATACTTGCTCTCCTCCCCACCCCATTTCTCTCACCCCCCCCGTCCCCCCGCCGCACACGAGTGCACGAATGCGGTTATTTCTCGCGAGGTTGTCGGGCCGCTATTCTCTCACTCGACAACGAGAATTCCCCGATGACGTGAATATCACTCGTCGCGCGGTACGTATGCGACGAGATACGTTTAAGAGTCCAGACATAAAAGAAAGCAAACGGTGCGCGCGTGCGGAGCTCGCGCATTTCGAGTGAGTGCAAATAGACTGACTCGCACCTGTGCCCGCGTAGGTGAGGCAGCACGAAGTGCCGGCAGGCAAGCACGCCTTAATACACGTAAAACAACCCCGAGGCCAATTGGTAGCTGTTAGGGCGCGACCAGCTACTCAGGCCGAGCCGCCACCTCGGGAACTGCGACTCTGGCAAGATTGCGACGTCGTTCAGGTACGTAAAGTCGCCGCGAAAATTGGATTAGCTGTTATAAATTCGCAACAGAGAGACCAAGAGATCGGAGCGAGAGAGAGAGAGGGGGGAAAGGAGAGACAGGGAGAGCCCGAGCGTCGCGATACAACGTGACCAGCTTGCCAAGCAACCTCGCTGCTCTTGCATAGTGATATCCTCTCGGTCGACTCGGGGAGACTCTTGAAGTGTCGCATTCTTCGCGGTAGCGAGCGCGGCCGCGAGATATTTCCAGCGACGGCGTATCGACAAAAGAAGCAGGGGAAACTAGAGCTCGTCGCGTTAGAAAACACTCCGCGTTAATAGATATTGCGCCGTTCCTGAAAGGGGAAAAAGGAAGAAAAGAAACAAGAAGAGGAGGAGGAAGAGGAGACGGATATACGCGAGAGAGAGACAGGAATGTGCGACTGCGAATCGAGGAATATTAAACGCAGCCGCACAAGTTCGGACCCTCGCGGTGTGATTTACGCACTGTTATTCCGAACGGCGACCCCGCGTAGGGCTTCCTCCCCCGTTTGCGTTCTTTCCTTTCCCTTTCGGTTCTCTCAGCTGCGACATTTTCCCCCCGTTGCCGGCGCGGCGCGGCGCGGCGCGACGCGAGCGAAGCTGCATCGCGGAGAAAAATTGTCTCCGAGTTCCGTCTCTTAATTTCTCAACGAGCTCTCGAATCTCCCCGCGTGCGCTCCAAGTTCGCGATAAGTATCGAAGTCTCGCGGGATCGATAACTCTTTGCGCCGAGGCCCCAGCCCCGCATATTGCTCGGAGCATTAGTCGATGTCTCGGAGTCGCCGCTGCTCTCGTGAAGCTAAATGGCGACGGGAAGGATTATGACGAGGACGAGCCGTGTAGGACGAGCGCGCGGGAACTTTGTTCGCGCGAAGTTCGCGCGCGGACTCCTCGTCTATTCTTCGTCGCGACAGGGAAATTTGTCTTTGCAGGACTACGTAACGGTGTATGACGGATACACCACCAGGGAGCCGGTGATCCTGAAATTCTGCGGCGGCGGGGAGCCGGTACCGGAGGCCATCAGCAGCGGCCCGGAGATCCTCGTGGAGTTTACTACCTCCCCTTATGGCACCTTCTTACATCCGACGCCGCCCCATTCTCTACATGGGTTCCAATTAGAAGTGCAAGTACGTCAGAGCATCCACCGTAAACTGCATAATGGCCACCTTAATTAACGCCCCACCCATTCGCCCCGCCCCCTTCTTAATCACACATAAAATTAAACACCTTAGGTGCGTAGGAATAACACGCCGTCGGAGAGATAGATAGAGAGAGAGAGAGAGAGAGAGAGAGAGAGAGAGAGAGAGAGAGAGAGAGAGAGAAAAAGAGGGAGGGAAAGTAAATTGCGTCTACCATTTCTTCGATATGTCTGTTAAATCTCTTCGAACAGTGTAAACGGATAGTGAATGCAGTCATTCCTTACACACACACACACACACACACACACGGTATCTTTTTATAAAAATCTTTCTTTCCGGAGTTCAATGATATACCAAGGACTGTGAATTAACAAATGTCGTACGATACGCACACGTAACGACGCGGCAATCGAGCGAAATGAAGCCGCACATAGGCGGATTGAACGAAGAGCCGATACATTCGCCGGTACGAACGAGAATGATGACGATATCTCGCTGTATACGGCAACGAGAAATAGAGACTCGTTCGGGAGGTCGTTCCGGCCGGTTGTGATCGCGCATCAAATCCAACGAGCCCTCGCTTGTAGTAGAGCGGAGGCAACGATATCACTGTCGGTCGGCATTATCCCATAAAATTTCCTAACGACACACGTCGCGTCGCTGCGTTCGTAGAATATGTTCGCAGAATACGTTCGCATCAGACAGGAGCGGCAGCACGCGATCGCGCTCGAGCAATCCGCGCGAAAGCCGCTCGCTCCCGGCCTCGTTTTCCTGCAGCGGCCCCCCGTCGAGGGCTGAATCGCCCGAAGGGCGGGCGACGAAGCCCGCCGCATCAGAGCACCGCACACGCAACACGAGAACGCGTCGGCTTCCAGGTCACGTTCGTCGACGCCGAATCGCCCACCTACGCCAAGAATAAACGCTGCGAGTTCTGGCTGAGGGGCACCGGCGGAGGCGTCCTCACGTCGCCCCGTCACTCACTGCCGAGGAACAGCACGTGCCTGTACCATCTTCGCGGATCCGGGCCGGCCCTGCCGAGCCCGACGCCGCCGCGACCGTTGCCGAAGTTCCCGGAACAGCGACCCGGTACCGTCTGGCGGCGACCCGCGCCGAGACCGCCGCAGCCACAATTCCGCGTCTGGTTGTCGATCCTCAAGTTCCACGTGGGCACCAGTCTGTCCAGCACCGACGAGGACTGCTCGACCACGCTGATGGTCTGGGACGGTGAGATGATGCCGTTGTCCGAGTGCAACGACGTCGTCTGGTGAGTGCCGTGACGTGTTCTCCACCTCGACCTCGGGATTTTCGTTCGCTTCAGCATCCGAAATCATTGGAGAAAAATCGGGATCCCCGGCAGGTTCATTTTTTCTTTCTCTTCCGTTGACATCGGAAGATGTTACGCGACTTCAAAATGAAGATCAACCGCTGCGTCTTTTCACTTTACTGTTCCTGACGAGTTCCGGGTTTATGATAATTTGTGTTCCTTATCCGAGTGGTTTCTTCATTTGGTAAATATATAGAAAAGGGTGCACCTCACCGAATTTTTTCATCTTGAAATATGTTATAAAGGATGAAATTCTGAGTGACTTCTCCTGATACAATTATATGGGGGTCGCTTATAGTTTCTGAGATATATGGCTTTAAAGTTTTATAATTGTACGTCGAAGTATATTTGAAGCAGACAAGCAGTTTTCATTCACTTTAAATATAGGAAACAGTACATATAAGCGGGAGAGAGGCTCCGCCCCTCCCCCGCATCCCCTCCCCAAACAAATCCTAACCTAACAAATCCTAACAAAACCTAACTTATCGCATCTTTATATATTTTTGGACATTGTTGAGAAAAGTTCTCTTAAGATCTATCACCTGGCTCAAACTTAACTTATTATTATAATATCTGCATATAATTAGGTGTTGTGGCTTTTAAGGAAATCTTTTCAACATCGCCCAACAACGTACAACCCTTTTTATATATTTACCCTTCATTTTCCCGCTGGTTGCTTTAGCAAATTGTCTCAGTTACCACGGCGGAATGCCCGACATTCGCAGACGGTGCCAAAAATCCAATGTAACGATTTGCTTCAGCGAGAAGGAACGTCAACGTTACGCGGAGAGGATGGGCGACCCCATTCAACCCGTCCTCGCGCGACCCGCGAGTAATACCACGCTGCTGGCGAGATATTGCAAGGACAAAGTACCGAGGACCTGCGACCACGCTATCCTGCAAAATACCAGCCGCCCGTGTTCTCTAGGGGAGAGCTTCGTCTCATCGGGCAGCAGTCTGACTATCGAGATGCGTATGGTCGAGTCGACTGCGCTCAGGCAAGTGTTTTAAACTGTGTCGCTTCACGCCCCAGTCGTAAGCCTTCCTCATTGTTGCTCACCGCTCGGGAAACGAGATCGAGATACGTGAGTTCCTCCCTCCCCTCCCGGGTAGAAAACATTCGGCTAAAGAAAGAAAATTGACAACCGCAGCCCCGAGTTGAAACAGCCGCGAATCTAAAAGAGAGATAAAGAGGGATGAACCTGAAAGATGTCCGAAAAGACATTTTTTCACGCGAGAAACCTCCTTCGGGTGTTCCCGTCTGCCTTCGCGAAAACGAACGGAACAAAGAGAAGGGCGAAGGTATATTAATAAACCGGCGAAGAATTCCGCTGCGACGTAAAATGCGCAAATGATGAATCGCTGGAGGAGCGGCGCGCGCCAACTCGCACTTGTAATCCCGCGTCTCATCCGATTCGATTCGCGTATCGTATATCGAACGGAGAGTCGCTCGACGGTATCGGAGTGGCGCTCGGCGAAGAATGCGGCAACATTTTATAGCAATACGGCGCAATATCTGCCGCGGTAGCATCCGCTCGAGCCGCCGTTGTCCTTTCCGCGCGCTCTCTCTCTCTCTCTCTCTTCCAATATAGGTTATTCATGAGGGACGATTCGCCCTTTCCCCATCCCCCTCCCCACCCGCCCATCTTGCCCTCCGCGACGGAGATGCGGTGGAATTTAGAGGAATTCAGCGGCAATGCCTGCGTCCTGTGTCATTCCATCTGCTTAATTTTATACGCGCCCTTTTCTGCCTTCACCGGGAAGAGCGCTATGTTCCCTTGACCGCGAGGTTCTTCGCTCAGCGAACAAATTATTCAAATGAACCCGTGTCGGTCATTAGAGAAAGAAGAAAAGGACAAGAAGAATAAAGAGAGAGAGAGAGAGAGAGAGAAAGAGCGGGGGGGGGAGGAAAGAGACGGGTAAAAAAAAGACACAGAGGAGTTCCATTTCGACGCGACCCGACGCGCGTCGGAGAATTGAGATGCGCTTTCGTGCCGCATGCGCGTATTGTTTATCCGTGAACATTAATTTAAATACGAAGGGTTGACGTGGCAGCGTCCCACGCGAGTGTTCTCATGCCCAGCGAGTCGATTCCAGCGCGTTAAGATTGAAAATAATTCGATTGAAACGACAGGAGACCGCGAGGAGACTCATCGCTTTCGCGGTCGTCCAGCCTTCGAGAGGGTGAGAGCCAACGCGAGATTTCCCTCTCGTGAAATCTCCGTTATTCACCACCCCTCTCGTTCATCGCATTTGGTGGAAAAACGACAGCCGCGTGCGCATATCGCGAGAGCGCCCGCTGTCACGGTAATTAAATCGCGATTACGCCGATGTTTGCGGACATTATCGCGTCGCTCCCGTTATTTTTCACTCGTTCGTGGCTTCTTCGGCGTTGCATCGCGTCGCGTCGCGTCGCGTCAACGATCCTCCGAAGTGCCGACGCGATAGAAATCGGAATCGGACGCTCGCCGATGAATAATTGAGAGCTTCCTCCGCGCAACCCGCCCTCGGCGTGTAATTATTAACGACACGCACACACACACACACACACACACATATATATACACACGACACGTTCAGATTCGCACGCGCTACATCCATTCGTCACGACATGTACGATCCGACGTGTGTCTCGGTGCGTGTGCATCGACGTTTCTTTTTTCCCGACGCACGAAGGTGTGTGTATATGTGTATGTGTGTGTGTATCGGCTTGTAGTTCGCGCGGCGTATTCGAGCGTGGTCGAGCCGGACGGTGTGAGTGACGTGCAATGCGGATACATCGCACGGTCTAGTTAATCCTTTCCGCGCGAAGTAAAGCCTACCGGCGCGGCGCGCCGTTGCGCGCGCGAACGAGCGAGCGAGTAAGCGAGCTTTATAATAAGCTCCGGCTCGGGAGTTTAATAACATCAGCGCCGATGGTGCAACGGCTTTCTTCAAGGCCCCTAGCCGCCTTTCACAGCGCCGGAGTTCGTCGATCTTCATCAGCGCGTCGAACCCTACCGGACAACAGCGCGCATCAACCCCCTCGTCGATGCCGAGCGCTTCTAACTTGAGCGGTCGCATTTTCCGCGCACCGACACGCGTTCCGCGGATAGAAATATACCAAGATAACCACGTGATCGTACTTCAAGTTTTTTTATTTTTTTTTTTCGGAGAAGAAGGTGCGTATCTGGTCGTCTTGAGGGCGAAAATGCCGATTTCGCGTTTGGCGCAAAAAACCGCCGTGAACGTCAGTAATTAAAGAAAAAAAAATAAGAAGAAAAAGAGCAAGATAATCACTCACTCACGAAGCTCGAAGCGGATTGATAAATTAGTCGACGGAAACGAGTAAATATTCGCGCTTAATTACTCGTTTCGTGACGTAAATATCCAGTCGGATATTTTCCTCGTCGTCCACCGTCCGCCCTTCGTGCGCGAGCGCGTATGTTAATTCCAGCAATATTTTTGCAATTTGTCCCTGTTTGCCAGCTAGACTGATTGGATCCGACTGATGAAATTCCTCTGTTTTCGAATTTAACTGATACTCCCCCCGACCGTGGCTGAACACCCCCCGATACCTTTGACGTTAATGCAGCCCGATTAATTAATAACTCTCTTCTCGCCCTTCTCTCTCGCGCGAGATCTGGGATTTTTCGAACTCTCGCCGAGGATTGATCGGCCCGATGTGACGACGCTGTTTTCAGACCCGTGAACTTCCGCGCGCTGTACGAGTTTGTCGATCTCCATCAGGACGGCGAGCCGTACGGCAGCGGGCCGTGCTCCCGCGTCTTCTACAGCCGCAGTCGGGACCATTATCCCGACCGTAAATTCCAAGGTCCGCGCGACATATTTCTGTACGGTCGCGGAGGCTCCAAGAATATAAGGTGAGAGAGCTCGGCGGTACTATTACAATAGCAGGCGGTGCTGTTACAATAGCAGCGCATTATACATTCAACGTCCTCATCTAAAGCGTCCATTCGCGAAGCAGCGCGTGCATGCACGCGTCTTGGACACGCGTTCTCGGCGGGAAAGCGTCAGCGTTAACGATACCGTGCGCGACGCCGTCCTTATAATTAAGCTTCTCCGGCCATTCGCGTGCGGAAATTCACGACGGACGTTGCGCGGCGCGCGACTTCGCCGGCGATCGACCAGGGGATATCATTTATCCGTCGTAATTGATCAGCCGCCGATAGTGTTGCAATGACAGTTTGACATTATGATACGGTCTATCGTCTGCGGTGGGCCCACGTCCGCCTGGGACGCCGTCGTGAAAGCTAATGTAACGATGTAACGACACGATAATGACGTCGTTAAGTCGTCCCTGCGCGTCAATTCGTGCCGGCTCGTTATTAACGGGCCATTGTGGCGGCGCGCGATCCGCCCTCCCTCGTCAAACATAAATTGCGCGATTCTTTTTTTGGTTTTCCTCGCCACCGCGATCGAGCGCGATGTAACGCCGCGGCAATGGAGATACACCGTAATTGGTGGTCGAGCGCGTGCGTGCGTGTTAAATGTTTAAAGCGATGTGTAAAGCGATTCGAAACGTTAAAGCTAGATTCTCACTCCGTCTAGACAAAAATTCGTCAATTCTCCGTCAATTTTTTTTTTTCTTTTGTAGAAATAATTGAGAGCGGATACTCTAAATATTTCAATGCAGAAACATGGAATATTTCGACGGAGGAGAATAAGAACTCGGTCTCGTCGTCGAAGGACTCACGGGTCCTTAATTAACACGTTGACCGCCATGGTGGTCAGCAGAAACTATTGCTGATAATATTGCCGCGTCTGATCACTTTACGTAAGCAACTGCGTGGAAGAAACTAGATACATAGCCGACAAGGAGTGAATGAAACAGATATTCGCATCGCGAATTGCATTTTGTTTATCGCGTCTTTAGCTCGAATCACCAAAGACAAAGTAAACCGTGAAAATCAGCATCGACGGCCAACATGCCGATTAAACATCCTCTCAAGTTTATTCGCCCTCTCCCTCCTGGGTTGACGCGCATTCCGACCGCGCGTCTTTTCGCGAGGTCTTTTCGACGGCAGTCGTACGTCGTCTGAGCACGCATTCTGGAACTTGCAGGAAGGCGACGAAAGACGCGGAGCTTGCACTTATTTCCTCCGCGGAACGAACGTGAGGGACGAACTGCACCTTTGATGACGCTCGTCGCACAAACTGCGCGACTGGCTCGCGCGAACCAGCGTTCTTTTATTACTGTTCATCACACCGGGACAGAGTCTCCTATAACGTCGATAAAATATCAGTTAGATCGCGGCTTTACGACAACCGTAAAACGAGCTGCTTTACAGCCGCCGAACCGAGATATTCTTTGCCGGCAAATCGCAATCCCCGTGGTTACGTCCGATATATATCGCGCTGCGTAACCGCTTCTTTCTTTCCTCTCTGTTTCCATCTTATCCATTATTTGGTCGCGCGATGTCCGCGATATACGCCGTCGATTCGAAGCCGCTCGATTCGCATTCAATTTCGCTCGAATTTCGCTCGAGCTTTGTGCAAGCGTAACGACTCGCGAATAGCCGGTTCTCTAGTTTTGAAATTTCATGAAAGAGAGAGAGAGAGAGAGAGTGAGGGAAAGGAGGGGAACATTCGCTCGCACACCCCGGAAGCTATTAAATCATCCCCCTATATGGATCTCCCAATCGACGTCGAGACGTAAAGTCGCTTTTATTCGGCCTGATAAAATTGCTATTTGCGCTCGCCGTGTGGGAACTTCATTTCCCGGTCAAGTGATAGAAAGACGAGAGAATGTTCCTCCTCCTCCTCCTCCTCCTCCTCCTTCTCCTTTTTCTCCTGCTTTTCTGTGCGAGAGATAATTCGTCCGCGGTATCCCCAAAAAAAAAGATGCCGAGAAACTCGTACGCGCCCGCACACGCTCCTGTGATCCGGAGATCTCTTAGAAACACTTTGGCCGCGCGCTCTCCGATTAACAAGCGTCCAACCTTCGACTCGCTCCTCTCGCGTAATCTTCCTGCACTATCGACCACTGAGCCGGATCCTTTGCCTGGCCGACGAGGCGTGCAGATTCGATTAAGTGCTGAAAGTGCAGGCCAGAAACGGTTTTGCAGCTGCGTGTACCGCTTCGAAGGAGAGCACGACGAGGTGGTGCGGCTGAGGTTCAACAAGCTCCTCAATGGCAATCGCACCTGCCGCAGCGTTACCAGCCCCGACTTCAATAGGCTACTCTGCGTCGGCTCCGAGAACTTCTCGCTCAAGGTACGTAATTGAAACTATCCGGTAATTGCGATTAGTTCCCACCCACCCACTCCACCCCGGAGATAACGGAGGTGCGTGCGAGGTGTGCGGCGAAACCGATCGGCGAGACCTTCCGACGTCTTGCGGAGGCGAGGATCGGGAAGATCTTCGCGATCGGCGCCTCCCGCCGCTTCGTCTGCGGAGTTTATGCCGAGGGAAAAAGTCCCCCGTTCACATTCGAGCGGCGGTTCGAGTGTAATCGCGCCGAATGCGCAGTGAATGCGCGCGGCGGCAAAGTTACCAGCAACGTTAATTACGGATCGGTACAATGGAAGGTTAGCCGTACAATCGCTGGTAACAGGTGGCATTGATCGAGTAATTAACGGCGCTGGCTTTAACAGCGCGCGTGCGCGCGCACACGTGATAACAAGTATCAGCAATCTCCGAACTCAAATACGAAGATCGAAGTAGGCCGGCAGGCATCGAAGTTTCCTTGGGTAGTCAATAGCGAAATGAGTCGGACTTATGGGTGTGCGACGGCGGCGGCGGCGGCGGCGCCGACTCGTCTTACATTAGTTCTTGGCGTCTGCCGAACGCGCTGAGCGCAGAAATTAGTGGAACGCGCGCGAGATTGCGATTCAATAGCGCGCGCCCGATTCGTCGCCTCGGGCTCTCGTCTCGAAGGAACGTCGAAAGGACCGGTGCCGCGTGTAGGATGAAACGTCCAGCTTTCGGCACTCCCGCAAGGATTCTATCGGATATTAAAGTACACGCGGATTAAACGAATTAATGATAATAAAATTAATAATAATTGATGAAGAATGGGAAAGATCCCGTACAGAAGCAACTTCGTTAGCGCAGTTTTTCAAGTCTCTGTTCCAAGGATAAACTCGGCGAAAACTCGATTGCGGGAATATTCCTGCTGGAGATTTCTAATCAGTCAGTTGCTCTCAGCAGTCTCAGTGATCTCGATTAAGTTTTAATGCAGCTGAATTTGTTCGGTCGTGATAACAGAGAGAAATCCTTGCTCATCGCCAAATTTTCACGAATTGAGATCTTTCGTTCGATGTTTAATACGATCAATTTCAACTGAAGGCAGAAACCGGCTACAGAAATTCTTGGATTTTATCGACAGTGCCAAGTGCCTTAATATTTAATCAGACCCGTGCGAGAGCATCGGCTGGAGCACTCTTTATCTCATCTCGCGGATATCTCGGCGACAGCGCGAATAACAAATCGATCCGCCGAAAATGACAACGGTGACGCGCTCGCGGAGGATGCGGCGCCGGTTCGATCGCGCGCGGCGCATCGCTGATTAAAAGACGATAAATCGAGAACACAATCACGCGGGGACGCGGACGATTATCCCGGCGGCTGCCGTTTGTTTATAGGTACTCGATTTACCCTGGCCAAACGCGCCGCCCATCCAGCGCGACTGTCTCTGCTCGAATCGATCGTTGCCCATCAATATCAAGTCCACCTCCAATTTCGCCGAGGTGCGTTTCACCGTTCTGTCGATGGACGCCTTGGACGATTACAACAATCTGTTCTTCGAGGGTACCTGGGACTTCGTGAAGACGGTGCCTTGTCTGCAGAAGCGCAGAGTCAGGGGCCCGTCGGGCGAGATCAAGTACACATCACCGTCCGAGGAGGACGAGGTAAACGTGAAGAAGAGATGCCCCATGAATAAAACTATAGTCGAGAAGCAACGTGTTATTCGTCGAGCCGTTACGATTTATCGCTACTTCACTAACGATTTCACAACAACGCTTGTTTTCCTTCGTTGATACAACAACAATACCAACTATTTCTCAAACTGCAACAACGACGAATTATTTACGTGGCGACGGGCGACGAATTACTTTCAGAAACTAACTCTGCCAAGCGCATGCATAAATTTCTCATTTGGTTATTTATTCATCAGTATTTATTCATTCGTTATACAGTATGGACATACCGAAAAAATCGCAAGGAGCGATTTTAGAAGAAGAATAAAAGATGTTTGATTGTTAGAGCCTGAATTCATGGTCTCGCAAAGTTCGTACGTGATCAAGCTACTCAATTTAACTAAAGCTACTACTCAGTTTAATTTCATCCCGGCTTTCGTCCGGTCCGCGATTTTACACCGTAGAGCTCTTCTAATTTTTCTCGATTGTGAAGAAGGCACTTGACGCTCCTCAGATCGACGTTCCTCAGACGTTCCAATAATCTTTTCTTGTCGCCAGCAGAAGAATTGCGAGAATCAGCCGTGGCTGATCGACCCCGGCCCGGGTCAGTACTTGTACGTGAAGATGCACGGCATAATCATGTCGAACAAGACCAAGTGCGCGACGAAGAATCGCATCATCGTGCACACGGGCGGCGCGATTCACGTGTCGGTGTGCCCGAAACCACCTGCCGACTCGCGGCACCACGTGGTGGAGGTGTTCAGCGACGGTTGGGCCGTCAGCAGCAACGCGATGATCCTCGCGCCCGGGCAAGACCCGATCAGAACCATCGCCGTGGAGTTCATCGTGAAAGAGCCGGCTTCCTACACGGTCACGTGGCTCGAGCTCACCAGAAGGTATAGTAGACGATATTTTTGCATGTAGTAAACGGTATTTTTACGCGCGCGGAGCGACAAGGAACGGGCGAAAATAAAAGTAAAGAGAAAAACAGAGGAGGTGGAGAAAATAGAAGACCGAGCGCATCGATTTTATAATTCGAGAGGTTGTTGCAGCAATTAGAAGTATTTTTAGAAGTCGACAGGGAAAGTATATCGCCGCGTTGGCGAGCACAATGGACACCGGTAGAACGTAATTGACGCAATCTTCACAATCGCGCGCGCGCGCGCGCGCGACCTTCTTCTTTAAAACCCCCTTCATTAAACTTCGTTCAACTTTATCCGTAACTTTCGCAATCTCTTGCGCGGAATAATTAATCTCGTAGAAACGAAGATTACCCCCCGTTAGCTCGCTCTTCCTTCGCGCCCTCCAGTGGAGATTTGCACTCGGTGTATCCGCGCTTCTGCTTGGAAGCCGTGGAGAGAGGTACTTTAGCTAATCTTATACGTCTAAAATAAAGTGATAAGGTACAATATAGGCCGTAATATATTATTTCACAGCCTTCGCGCTGCGCTACAAGCAAGCGGCAATCGATAAACTGGACTTTACTGGTGGAAAATAACGCGAGCGACGTGAGAAGCGCTCGATAACGACAGCGATATGAACCGCGGCATATCGAATCTCGCCTTTCGCTGCGAAACTCTTATATGCACCTCCTGATAAATTAGTCTCTCTCATTTGCGAGTGACATTTGCACAAATCACTTCGAACGTAGTTCGAGAGCTTTATTGATTTGAATGATATTTATATAAACTCACCGTAGGAGTGAACTCGCGGATCTGAGAATAATCGAGAGGTAATTTAAAAAAGAATCCATCTAAGAATATTAAGAAATAACTTTCAAGGAATCGCAAATGACAGGCTAACCTTCGAGGAGGCACATGCACGATTTCCACGATGAAAGAGTTGGACGAAGTAGATTCTGTCTGAAAGGCCGCCTGCGTTTCCGGACGCAGAATGACTGCGCGTTTGACCGGGGAGAGTAGAGAAAACGAACGACGGCAACCAGAGTCACGGGTGACTATGCAGCACCGCATATTTCTCTGGAAAACACCTTAATTAATATCCGCTCGACGTCATCCGCCCTCGATTAAGCAGGCGCGCCACGCACGGCGGCGGTGGCGGCGGCGACGACGACGCTCGTCGTTACGCAACGGAACAATAACTCTATCGATCCTCTGACCCGCAGACCCCCGGTGACGTCAACGGCGGGCCTGCAAATGTCGCGGGACTGCGAGCAGCGTTGCCCGGAGTTGGACGCGTGCATAAACGCCTCCCTGTGGTGCGACGGGGTGTCCCACTGCCCCTCCGGCTACGACGAGGCTCTCACGCACTGCTCGGTGCTGCTGCAGCTGGCGCCGTTGCACCTGATCCTGGCCACGCTCGGTGTGGTCATCGTCCTTGGCATCGTCTGCTTCGCCGTGTGGTGGGCTTGCCGGCACCGCACCAGTCGCTCGATATCCCAGCACCGGCTGAAGAGCATCTCCTCCGAGACGGCGATAATCGACGGCAAAGAAGTGATATGCTGACACAGCGACAGTTCTGTGCGTTACGTCGAGGTCGACCGAGTCACCACCGTGTGACGATCGCCGTCCACGTGGTGGTCGTCGTCGCCGTCGTCGTCGTCGCCGTCGTCGTCGCCGTCGTCGTCGTCGTCGTCGTCGTCGTCGTCGTCGTCGTCGTCTTTTCCGTGGTCGGTCCGAGTTCCAGCGGTCCTCCGTAACGCGATCCTACGACTCCGCTCGGCTCTCCTCTTCCTTTTCCTGTCGTGAAGAGCCGAGAGCCAGCCGCCGGGAGGATCCGCGGAAACGCCTCCGCGTAACGCGCAGAACTGTCGCACCGTAAGGGAGAAGAGAAGTTAAGCGGAAAAACCGCTTCGGCTCTTGCTGATCGGTAAACACGCTCGATGCTCGATGACTCGGGCGATGAAGGAGAACACGAGATTCTTTGCCGAGGGAGCGCTTTCGTTCCGGCTCGATGCGGCCGGCCGCTCGATAACGAGAGAGAGAGAGAGAGAGAGAGAGAGAGAGAGAGAGAGAGAGAGAGAGGGAGAGAGGGAGAGAGGTGTATGTCTCGGGAAATGACGACGGGTGAGTTGAAGAAGAGGTAATCTGGTCGAGATTCAGGTATGGGACAGACATTCGGGTGCCTTTTCTTTGTTGGAAGAATGAGTCCGCTGACGTCTGCTGACGGTGTCGGGATAAGGACGCGGAATATCGGCGAATCGATTAATCGCTGCCACTTTGCATTCATTAACGCGTTGCTGCTGCGTAATCACGTACGGTTATATATTTACTGATTAACGGTACGGTTATATTTTCATGGACAACGGTACACTGCCACTGTACGGTCTCCTCGTTTCGTCGACTCAGGGCGATCGCAACTTTCCAATTTAGGATCTAACGATACAGCCGGGATTCGTCCGATGACCGCGTCAGCAGAGAAGTCCAGACACGACGCGGTTGGGTCGCACAGCTTTGTCTCATCTCCGCGGACATCGAATCGTATACTAAGCGTTTCCGCGATAAGACTCGCGCGTCCCGTTCTCCAGTCTGAATGCTTTCGTTATCTTCGCGCGCACGTGAACGAGATCTTATTATGCTCATGTTGCCTGATTACTTTCCCGAAGAGCAGTTACACGTCCCACAGGAAAGTTTCGCAAACGATTCCCCGTCGAAGTGCCGTCGAGAGTCATCTCGAAGCTCGAATCTCGAGGATGGACGGAAAAACGGAGAGGAACGCGGGGCCGCGGGAGGGAGAGGAGGACGCGAAAACGCGTGACGTAAGTCGCGGGATTCAAGTGCGAACTACTTCAACGAGGACAATAAGTAATAAAATCCTAGTAGTACGTCGCTTACGTTACGGTGGAACGACTCGACGGTGCCGCGCGATCGAGCGACGCTGCGCGCGCCTTGCTCGCCGGACTTGGACGATTAGCGCGAAGAGCCGCGGGACTAAACGGCGGCGCGGGCGGAGCGTCGCGCACCTTGTGCCGTTAATAACCGAGATCGGGCAATGTAATAAGTGAAAACGATGCGGTGGGCTCGGGCGGATCGATAATGCTTTGTTAGCAGCGGGATTTGCGAACGGGAGTTTCGTCGGCATCGATTGACCTTAAACGCGGTTTACCTCTTTGGTCACGGCTAACCCGTCGTCGGTGTAAGCGCATGCTTGCGTTTCGAGTTTTGCGGGAGTTAACGGGACGAGTTGACGACCGGTCTCGTCCTGCCCGGTCGTTCCTTCCCTCCAGCAACGATCATCGGCGACGAATCGTCCCGAAATCACGTATTTCGCTCGATCGAGGAGCCTCGCGAAGCGATTTGCGCCTCGCGTTGCACGATGTCGTGTTTGAGGTGTCATGAGTCCCGAACGACGTCTCGACGGAGCTGTCGGCGATGTTGATCGGCCGATCAAGGCGCATCGCGTCGGTCCGATCGACGGCACCCGCGAATGATGAAGAGAAGCACCTCGTTCAGAGATCCGAGACATCGAGCGTCGTGCGCGCAACGCGCTAGTTTTACCATAAGACGTTAGACTCCTCGTGAGGATTAAGAGTTTCATTAAGGCACGAGCCTTAATCGTGCAGAGAGCCGGGCGCACCTTCCCTGCGCCCCTGCGTCTCGTGTTCTTTTTTTTAAGGAAAGAAAGAAAAGGAAGAAAGCGCAGAGGAGAGAACAGGGGAGGAGAAACACGCGCGTGACATGACTCACACACGAGATTGTCTGTAGAAAAAAAAGAAAAATCGAGAAGGAGGAGAAACGAGAAATAAAGGATAGAGAGAGAGAGAGAGAGAGAGAGAGAGAGAGAGAGAGAGAGGGAGAGAGAGACGAGAGAAATAGGTAATTCGGAGCGGCCGCGCGTGTCCTGCCGATTCGAGTCGAGTCACGAGGTTGTTAGACGAATTGAGAGACGTCGATCGAGGAAGCGGACACCACCTGAGGTCACTCCCTCTCCGACGTGCCGCGGCCGTGGTAACGCGAGGAAGCTCGAGCTCTCGTTGCCGTTTACTGCCAAGTTAAGTAGCCGATTATTCACGTAATCGCCGCCCACGTGCGCCAGCCGATAGTCGCATCGATGCTGTCTCGTGAGACAAGAAGAAAGAGAGAGAGCGCGCGAGATATATTAGGGGGCGCGAGCGCTCGAGGCTCTCCTCCGCGTATACCATAGCCGCAGACCGCTTTCGGACGTCTGCATCGCGTTCGCGGGGCTGCGCCTCGGTCTGTGCGAACTGACGTGTCGTCGCTGCGCGACAAAGCGGAGGAGTAAAAAATGTGATCGATAGAGAACGGCCGGGATATCGCGGACTGCGATCGGCGACCGGCGCCGAGCGTGCGAGGAGTCGCGCCGGAGAAGCGCCGTGACGACGCGAAGGAGGATACTCCAGGAGGAACCCAACGAACGAGTCTCGCGTCGCGAGGCGTCGAGGCGCAGCCCCGCAGCCGGCGAGGAAGAAGAGTCTTCTTCAGCTGGAGATATTGACCAAAAGTTGAAGGGGGCAGGCGATAGCCGACTTTAGGCGACTTAATTACTCATCTTAGCGGCGCCACTTGGGCGAAAGGAGGAGGCGAGAATACGATGTGTAGAACTTCAGTAGCCTGAGAAATTATGTGATAATATATAATGCTGTTTTCCTCGGAGCTGTGCTCCGAAACACACTCATTGTTACGCCGGGCGTTGTTACGGCGTCTGTCGGGCGCGGAGGCCGGGACAGGCATTTCGAGAGACAAGTCGTTTCGATCCTCTCGTGTTCTATGCGCGAGAGGAGGAGTCACGTTGTTGTGCGTGAAGAAGAGCGTCGCGAGCGTCAAGAGAGCGACGACGCGCGCGGAAAATCGGGACGAGGCGAGACCGAGCCGGGAATGACCGGGCCTGAAAAAAACGGGTCCGGTTCGTCACGGACACACACATCGACGTCACACCGCCGCGGCTTGTACACCTTGTTCATACTTGTACATAATCGATTATTTATCTATTTGTATCGGATAACGATGTTGCGCGTGCACTTCCGCCCGCGCGTCCTCGCCACCGCACCGCCCCGCCATCGTGCCGCGGCTACTCGTTTTTCCGCCGGAACCCGCTCGTTTCCGCTTACTTTCCGGGCGGCACGCTAGAGTATCGAGCAACCCTTGCGATACCTTCGCGAAGATATTTGCATATACCTGCAGTGTGTGCACCGCGAATCGAGTATTCGCGTGTACGTACGCACCAGCGTGTCGTCCAGTTTGCGCGATCCCGCGGCTAATTTCAATCAGTTAATTTAGAAGTGACGTGACGAACGACCCTCGGTCATACTTTGACTTCGTTAATTAGTGAAAATGAAGTTACGATTTTCATTACGATTACAGCTGCCCCAGCGGGAATCGTAAATGCGGATCGCGCGCGGGCAGGCCTTTATTTGAATAATTCCGGGCGCCGAGATGCGACCGATATGCGAGAAGCTACGACAGCGCTATCGAACCTGTCATTCGTTATTTTACAGCCGGCCGCGTTTCACACAGTGCGGGGCGATAAAAATTTTGGCATTTACGATCCCCGGCTCGTAGGACTCTTCTCGCGCGACGTGGGAGTCTCTCTAATGTTGTCCGTGCTCGATAAACATTTACAGAGTATCGCGCGAGGGCTCCGAGAGGAAGCGAAAAAGAGAGAGAGAAAGAGAGACGAAGTAAAAAAAGCGGCCCTTTCTTATTTTTAATACACGAGCAAACGCGAGAGACGACAGCCTTCCAAATCTCCCTTTCTTCGCGAGGGAACGGGAGATCCTGTCGCCGAAAATTCCGGCGGAAAAGACTCTTTTATCGTGGCTCGCGCACGCAACATAATCGCATGGTGTCCTGGTGCCGAATATAGTGATAGGTCGGCGCCGCGAGCGGAAGTTCGCATCTCGCTGCTTCACTATTAGTTGATAAGCGTAGATCTTGGAAGAACCACGGTAGGAATGGCGTATCTTCTCTCTGTCTCGAGAGAGAAAGATGCTCCTTGACGCGGCAACCGAAGAAGCGGAGGACGACGATGGAGAGCGTTGACGAAGAGCAGGAGCTACAAGGAGCTAAGCGTGCCCTCAGCTAGCCGGGAACACCGCCAATTATTTTCTCATCATTTTCTGCGCACACGACAATTATCGCGCGCGCGTGCGCGCGATTATTACACGCGCAATCGAAGAAGAGGACGCGGCGAGACGAAGATCCTATGTACGGCGAAAGTGTCATATTTTTAAGTCGCTCGCATGCGCGCGAAATATACAAAACGAAGATAATCGTCAATGTCGCTGATTATTCGCTGAGTCGCGAGTCAAATCGCCGAGCGAACTTCACTCAATCCCGATCCCACGACCGTGTCGGAAACGGTACGCGCGTACGCACGAGAGTCTTGGTGCTCATCCGTGGACATCCCGAGGTGAGACACATCGCCGCAAGTGGTAACGTCGCGGATTAGTCAGACGGCAGGAAACAGCGTACGTTACGGCGACGCTTCTCGCGCTAGCCGAAATTTCGACTCAGGGAAACAATAACGTGGTGACGGAGTTTCCCATCGGAAAGGAGGTCACGGTTCCGACGTTTTTTCCCGCTTCCGACTCTGTAGCCACGTACACACGTTCGTACCCTAATTCTTTTCTTTCCACTCGAACGATCGAGTGACTCGAAGCAACGGAGAGCAAAATGAGGCAGCACGGAGAGAATAAATCGCGATCACAAGTCAATTCTTTTTACGAGGGAACAAATATTTTTGCCGACGATCGCGGGAGAAAACTAAATCTTTGCTCGTGTCACGACAGATTCGTCGGTCAAGACGAATGCAGTAATTCTCTTTCACGGGCTTTTCATTTACCTGGGACCAAAGATGTCATTTTTTTACGATGCTCGGCCTGCCGACGACGTGCGATCGTGCGCTTACGGCGCAAGCGAAGATATCAGATTTCTAATTGACACACGACTGATTCGGAGAACCAAAGACTGATTATTTAAATAGTTTGCTTCCGTCATCAGAACGAATCGCACTGCCACGCTTAAGAGAAAGAAAAAGAGAAGAGCTCCCTTCTGCCAGGGCCGAACGTTTGTCAGTCGGTCGCTCGCCACCGTCAATGTGTTTCTTCTCAAAGCGATAAAAGAAAATGAAATATTTGCTCACATATTAAAGTTCGTTGAAGCTATGTTCAAGTCTAAGTGTGATCCACGCGTCCCGCGGAGAGCCGGTACGGATAAATTTTTTGATCTATTTTACACGATCCGCAATATTGACTTTCGCAATTTAAAGCCACGGCCGTGGACCGAACACGACGATATCGGCTTTAAAGCCATGACCCAGATACCGAGTAATCTTCGTTGATGTGTTCCAGCCCGCCCGCCGGAGAGAGAGAGAAATTTTTTCCCAAAAATAGGTCGTCGCGAAGGTCTCCCTCTAATTACGTTAATCGCTCCTGACACGAGCAAATTAATTCGCGGAACGTCAGCGGCGTGTAATTAACCGCGCCCTGCAAAAAGCTGCATACACGCAGGCATGATTTATCATTTATATCAACAGCTTTTAATTCACCGGCAGAGGAGATGTAATGGAAAGATAATTGTTCCGCACACACACAGCTGCAGTTGCACACAACACGCGCGCGCACACGCACACACACACACATACACCCGCGCAGACGGTGACCTCCTTTTAAAAGTCGTACAACGCACTGTGACGTTTCTCTTGCGACGAAAGAAAACGGTTACGTAAAACTAAGAATCCATGTACACACCGCGATTGTTACATCAGGAGGTTACTTCCCTAAATTAAAGATATATGATTAATATATCCGATTAAGTTCATTCTCACTCTCCACTTTGTCAAATGGGGCGCACACATCGCGCAGTGCTGCGACGGCCAAATCAATACCGCGAAGACGGCCACGAACGAGATGCGGCAGTCGCGAGATGCACTCGTGCGACATCGCTTAAATTAGCGCCTCGAGAATTGATAATGAGCAATACACGGTCTTAATTAGAAAACAAAAAACCTCCCACCCTCGCGTTATCAATTTGTCGGAAATAATGAAAAGTAATCGAAAGTAATAGAGTTAGCTTGTCAACGACACGTCGTGAACACGTAACACGCTCACGCTGCGCTTTAGAATTTTCGCGCGTATCGTTTTCGGTATCAGCGTGTAAAATATTTTTTCTCGAGAACCCGGTGACCGATATCCGAACGGGTGAGAAAATCCCGCCGTGAAACCCGCTCCCCGGGAAACAACGACCGCGGAGAAGAGCATGCCATCGCGTGCGCAGCACTGCCTTCGAAAGGCCACGTTGGCTCTATCCGGCGGCTGTAAAAGTTTATTGCGACCGGGAGATGCGCCGGAGGCCGATGAGGTGCAGCCATATATGTCGCCGGGGGTTGAAACGCGGCTCCGACGTCCGTATCGCCTATTTATTACCGCGCCAACGAAGCTTTACTGCCGCTGTTCGCGCGATCGCTGAACGCGTATCTGCGAGAGACGTCCCGCGCATCGCGACTTGCCGATCAACGTGCCAAAATCGACTCATGTCGAGGCGCGATGTCGCGATTTCCAACCCGGTCCCCGCCGAGAGAGTGTTCACAGGACACGGGGCGCTTAATTTCGTCGACGAGTCGAAGAGACTCGACGTGATGATTTCGCGCGCAACTGTCGAAATCCGCCGAATCCGCTTGATTTTATAATCTACTCGGACGCAAGAAGTTTGGGGTATTTGAATGCGAGCAAGCGGAGGGGAAGGTAAACTCGAAGAATTCATGGAAATTTGAAACCGACGCAGAGAAAGAGAG